CTCTCTCTGGTCCCTTCTTCTCCCGTTATCGTGCTAATATATCTTTTTTTATATATATAAATAAAACGTATTAGAGAGTTATAGAGATATAAGGAGTCTGGTGAGATAAATTAGTTTTTTTTTTAAATTTAAATTATTTAACAAACTTTATCACAATCACCCATTTAAATTAAAACAGAGATAACCATTAAATTATATTAAGTAAATAAATATATGATATAAATATATATATATGTATTTTACACGGGTCTTACAATAAGAAAGGTTATTGCTATTCAATTTGCATCCCAAGCAACTTTCTTAGCAGCCTGCATTTACATGAACAGCATGAAATTAATGGCAGATGGGAAAGTGGTAATCTTGGCAACCAAGTAAAACCATCTTTGATGCATACAAAAATATCAATGACAAATAAATTAAAGAAAAGAATGTTTGTCGGACTAGGGTCACTCTAGTGCTATTTTGCTTTTGGATCAACACACATTGTGACAACTTTTTAACTAACTACTCCTATTATTTTTTGTTTTTTGTTTTTGGGAAACAAAGAGAAGCTTTACATGTGGCCAGTGATGCTTGGTGATAAAGTAGTAAAAGTATACACACACACACACATAGTGGCATTGCGTGTAACCCACAAATCATAATGTTGCACAAACATTAAAAAACAAAGCATGTGATGCTGATCTGGAAAGAAGCCCTAGAGGAGGACTTAGGAGGAAGATGCCACAGGTATCCAAGTCACATCATTTACCAAATACAAGAACCCCAAAACCCTTTTTCTATGAGATTCTCATATCATATGCCTCTTTTTGATAACTTGATACGTACTCTAGAGACTCAGATGTCTCACACACTTCCAGGCCAAAAAACACACTAGCTAGTACTCCTTTTTTATTATTTTTTTTCTTTTCTTTTCCCTTTTGAATTGTGAAATGAAGAAAAACTAGTAGGGTTAAAGCCACAACTTTAGTGTGTTGTTGCCTTTTTGTATTGGACTCAACAAAAATGTCACAGATTGTAACACGTGGGCAATGCATGGATCCCCACTCACCCTTCAAAGAAAATTCTGAAGGAGAGTAGAGAAAAAAGGGATCCCATAAAAAGAATGCCATTTTTTTTTTTGGGTTCTCAACAAATAGAAGTTTTTTTTATAGCATTTTGTAGCTAGAGGGCACTAGCGAATGGAAGCCTTTTAGAAGTAACAATAAATAAATAAATACCTAAAGTTTACACGGTTGTCATCCTAATTCTTGTGATTGGTATTTCTAAATATATAAAGTTTTAGTACATGGTTGTCATCCTAATTCTTGTCGACTCTTGTCCTTCCTTCCAACTTGGTTCAATTAGGTTAAAGTTCTACTCTTCTATTATAGTACGAGTAAAAGATTATGAATTATTAAGTGGAGTAATAATACAAACTCCAAATTCAAAAAATGGCGGATGATAATTATGTGAGTAAGAAATATGTTTTTCATCACATGATATTAAGATAATGTTATGTGAAGTTGTTGACATCAACAGGTAGAGCTTACACTCAGACTCACATTACTCATGTTTGACATTTTCGAATTCAAAGGGTGTACCATTTTTTTTTGAAATAATTAGGTTGTCTAGATGAACAAAGTTTAGAAATAAGGGAATGATTTTGTTTTTTTCCCTCTCATGACAACCAACCCAAGTGGACGATGAGATGTTTTCGTTGAAAGTTAAAGTAACAGAAGTAGAGTTGAAGTTCAATCTGGCGCAAAATTGAATAAAGCATTGCCACCCCATTTTGACAATCATTATTATATATATGACTATTATATAATATTGGTTCAATCTGGCACAAAATTGAATAAACCATTGCCACCTCATTTTGACAATCATTATTATATATATGACTATTATAAAATATAGGGTCAAATACTAAAAATACTTCTAATGTATATTTCGCGCCACGTTCACTCTTTGTTTAAAAAAGTATGCTAATAACCTCCTTTATTATTTCAACATTGTGTGAAAATACTCTTCAAACAAAAATCTGACAAAAAGTAATGTTTTAATGACTGTTTTATCCTTTTATTCTTTCGAAAATTTTCAAAGGAGTGTGTATGTTAATAATCTCACAGTATAAAAATGTTATGTGTATATTTAATCCACTTTTAAGAATTTTTCTCTCATTTCCAAAAAAAAAAAAAATAGAAAATTTCTCTTTATATATTATCACTCTTCGAGTTGAAAGTTATACATATCATAAGACTTAATGTCATTTATAAGTTAGAAAGTTCTAATATATGTATTTCTTTTACTAGTCAAATAAAGATTAAAAGATATATATATATATATATATATATATATATATAACAAAATTTATTATCACAGTTGTCAGATTAATGGAGAGTATATCACATGAAATGAAAACCTCAATTTTTTTTTATAATTATAAAAATATATATATTCCCAATTAAAATTTAATATAGTTGTCATTTTTCATTAAATATAAAGTTAAATTAAAGATACTCATTCATTATATATATATAATATACATTTAATTTTTTAAACTTCACAATTTGTAATAAATTTTCACAAATATATATATATATATATATATATATATATATATAATTTTTTACATAGCAAAAAATGGGTTTTCAAATTCAAAATAATAAGAGTTTTTAGGATAAAGTGCATAAAAAAACCTCATCTTATGTTTAGAGTGTGTATCACACCCCTCGTATGCTAAACGAAGTCATTTCACTTTGATACATTTGAAAATATGTATTTTTAAATAATATGTAAAACGTATTTTTTTTTTTTTTTTGAGATATTAATTTTTTTTATCTTTATTTGACCAGTAAAAGAAATACATATATTAGAACTTTCTAACTTATTAATAACATTAAGTCTTAGGAAATGTATACCTCTCAACTCAAAGAGAGATAATATATAGAGATAAATTTTTTATTAACTTTTTTTTTTTTGGCAACGTTAAAGAAAAATACTTTAAAAATGGTTAAATGTGTACATAATACTCCTATATTATAAGATTATTAACATACACACCACCTTGGGTATTTTTGAAAGAATAAAAGAGCAAAACAGGTACTACAACATCACTTTATGTCAGATATTTGTTTGAGGGGTGTTTTCGTACAATGTTAAAAAAATAAAAGGGTTATTATCACACTTTTTAAACTTTTAAAAAATAGGGGGTGAATGTGCTACGCGGAACATATATTAAAGGTGTTTCTTACACTTCACCCCAAAACTTACAATGTTAATCAGCTAGTCTAGGATTAGTATATTTTATTTTTTGTAATCAACAACTTGTCACATGCTCATAGTTTTTGAAAAGCACCTGCATGATAATAATCTCTCCTCTTAGGTGGCTTCGTTTATTAGAGATTTATTTTGATATCAGTGTGTCACGATCACTCCAATCTTTGTACTTACAATTTTCAAAATGTATTTACAAGTCGACACATATAATTGTCAATAGCCTCTCTTTACGTAACGAATTTTTTTTTTTTTTTTTAAAAAAGGAGGAGGGGGTGGGGGGAGGGATTAAAATCAGGTAAAAAAAAAAAAAAAAAATCCCTTCTATTATCAAATTGGTGTAAAAAAACCTCACTAAAATTAAACAACCCTGCACTAGAAAATGTTATCATGTTGCCTCTATTTTCGTTTGAATCTGCTAAATGGGTTCGAGTTGACAAATTTACCCTTATTGTATAATGTGAAATTTAAATACATAATAATTGTTCTTTTGCAAGTTACAATTGTAACCTTGGTGGAGTATATTCCATTATTCCCAGTAATTGACAAGGCATCAAAACAACAACGTTTTGATCACCAGTATTGCAAGCCGATCAGTCGCGGTGGAGCTTTCGGAATCCGACGACCGATGAGACGACGGAGGAGAGGTGGAGATGCGATAGAACACAGGGAAGAGGGTTAACAAACACATCCATCATCTGTCCAATTCATCCCCACTCTGTTCTTCCATGTCCCAAACTCTCTTGCTAATCCCAAAATTACAACATTCTCACCAAATTCAGCTTGGTGATTCAATCGAACATGTAGCAGCACTTTGTCGCGTCGTGGCCCCGATCCCATCTTCTTCTTCTCTTCCTCTCTGCCAAAAAAAAAAAATCCCATTTTGTGGATGAGAGATTATATAATTGAGGGCATTTTCGGTATTAAAAGGGAAGCAAAGTGCTGCTGCTAGCCTGCTACCAGTTAGGTGTTGGCCTAAGGGGTATTTTCGGCATAAAATGATTAAACAGGAGCTTTGGATGGCAAATTAACAGAAATGGGACCATGCGATACTCTTTTGTTTTTTTAGTGGGCTATTTAATTTTAGAGAGTTGCACCAATTTAATACTAGAGGAGGGGTTGCGTGATTTTATGGTTAAAAAAATCAAACCTAAGCGTTAATGATAACTTAATATATATACACAGAGATCTGTTGCTAGCAAAAAAATTATCGACCGTTCGAATATAATTATTAATTATATATATATTAGTAATTACATTTTTATACTTAAATTATATCTAATGGTGACAATGTTTAGAGTGGAAAAATATTCTTGCCTGCGGATGAGCAAGCAACATGCATATACCTTACCAAACTCTTTTAACTTTTTATTTTGGAAAGTGAAATTTCGTTTAGTTTTTAATAATTCCCCAATTGTGAGAATCGATTTGATTTTAATTCATCATAAAATACCACCAAACTAAATCCAATGAAAATTTATTATTAATTTTTTTATTTTAATATATTTTTTTTTTGGAATACGTGCACCTTTTGATAAAGTTTCCATAATTCAAAGAAGAATCTTTTAGATTCATAGAATAATTAATATAAAACAAACCAACCGCAACTACAGTAACAAAAATAAACCAATTGATAAACTTGCAGTGGACAGGGAAGTCAAAAAGACAACAGTGTAATTTTCTCCTTCCCTCCACCAATATATGTCTACATATATATATATATATATATATATATATATACAAACACAAACGCCTATATATAGTCTGAGACGAAAACAGAGCAGGTTATATATATAAATATATTTTCTCACCTATGAAAAAGAATCGACCAACGTCTTACTCGGAGATACGCAATTCTCGTGTCTGAAAATCCACACCACACCACCTGTCTCTCTCAAACTCCATTCCCTTCGCGACTCTCTTTGTATAAATCACTGCTTCTTCTCAATCGCTTCATTATTTCTTTCTGTATCTGTATATGTGTATATACACACATATACATATAACAGATACAGATTGAGGTTTTGCCGGATCAGAAACCTAGATTACACTGTTTGGTTTTTGATCATATATGCGTGTGTGTGTTTGTGTGAATTTGGGTTGGATGCTTGGTTTTGGAGAAACTGAAATGAGATTGGATTGAGAAATTAGTGCAGATCAGAGTGACTATTCAATAAGATTGGGCGTTTGGGTTATGCGTTTTGGGGGTTGGGTGTGAAGAGATGGAACAGAAGAGCCTTTTGTTGTCAGCATTGAGCGTAGGGGTTGGGGTGGGCCTAGGGTTGGCCTCTAGCCAGACTGTGAGCAAATGGAGCGGCTACAGTTCGTCGGCCGAGGGCATGACCGGCGAGCAGATTGTAAAGGAGCTTCTGAGGCTCGTCGTCGACGGCAAAGAAAGCAAGGTCACGTTTGATGACTTCCCTTATTACCTCAGGTAAAATGGAGGATTAATTTTTTTTAATTTCTATTTTATTGTCCTGTTCTCTAGGTTAAGTTATTCATCATCATATAAGATAAAACTAATGTAATCACCACTTGGCCATTAGTCAAGCTGGTATAACCTCTCCTGAGAGGTGAGGGGTTCGAGTGCAGCGGTGGGTATTTTTGGGTGTGCGTGAATATTTTCGTTCATTTTTTATTTTATTTTATTCACCATTTTATATTTGAAGAATATTGATGAGAAGATAAAGAATGGTATAATGATGTTTAAATACCATTAGATCGGTAGCTTTGTTTTGATATGCGATACTTGATATATAATACAGCAATGATGAGTAAACATAATTATTTTGTGTAAAGATATCTTCTCCACATGCTTCTGTCACCTATGGATTTGTTGTTTTGATGGTTTGTCTTTTACAGATAATTTTCGGGTGTCATAAATTATTTCCTTATTATAAGACAAATTATTTCACATTTCTATTACTATTTTCATATTTTTAGGGTTTTTTTTTTCATCCTTCTTTTCTTTGTTCAATCAGAAAATATAATTTTCCCTATACCATAATTGTTATAGTCTATTTACTACACTTGTTAGTTATTCTTAAAATGGGTAGTTAGAAGAATGAGTATTAAGGAGATTTTTCCTACTTAAATTTTTTTTTTCACTTCTTTGCTTGTCTTCTAGAAATATATTACAAATGACGGTGCTTCAAATGCTTCAAATTGTTTATGAATTATCTAATATTTTCCCCCTTCAGTCCGATGTATTACTGTAATACTTGCAGCTTTTGGGGCACGAGGCTCTGCTGGTTTTGGGAATGGTGATGTGCACAACCTTTTGCCTCCGTATGCCTATTTCGAACCCTTGACCTCTAGGTCACAATGGAGCAACTTTACTGTTGCACCAAAACCCGCCCTTTTGTAGATCTTATATATTAATTATTGTAAGAAGTTTTCAAAAGCTTGTCTTGGATAAACTTTGGATGACAGCAAACTTTCATAGAAAGTAGCTGATGAGCGAGGACTACTTTATATTGATACCTGGTTCTACTCAGCTTAGTTCTGTGAATATATATCAAAAAAAAATTTATGGGTATAAGAAGGAAAGCTTCCATCTTGATCAGGAAAGACATAAGTAGGTGTTATCAGGAGTTAAATTTGTATTGTTGGAAGAGAAATTTTTCTGATCAAAAGAGCTATAAAAGTCCCTATTGGAACAAGTTTCTAACATAGGTTTATAGGAATAAGAAATTGGTAGAACATCATGAACCTAACTTCCAGCCACGTTATCTGTGACCTTTAAATATCTCGATTCAATCACATGTAACTTGCATATTCTTAATTTGTACGTATCCCTTTCATATGTTAATTGTTTACTTATATGAGAATTTTGAATCAATAGAGTATTTGTACTCAAATTCAATGAACGTTCGAACAACTTTCCAGTCGTGGTACAACTTGTGCAAGTGCCCTTCTATTTTGGCATTCACAAGTGATACAAATTATTTTTTGACACATCGTAAGTTTTAAGAAACCTTCCGATCTTGCTCTGCTTTCAAGTTCTTCTCTTAGACACAGAGTTTAACACAAGGACAATTTGGTCATTTACTTTTTTGATAAATTCTTAATTATAATCTATGTTGATCATGCTACAAGGAGTTAGAAAATCTGATAATGTTGAAATTTTTCCCTTAGTTTTATTTACTTTTAACATTTGTTGACCTCTACTAAAACATAAAGCATCATTAGAAACTGTTTTTACTCTATGTGCTCTTTTTCCAAAGTTTTGATTTTTTGGTTAAAAGTATGATATAGAACTCAGAGATGGACGATTATTTACGTATTTTAGGCCATAGAGAGTTGAGATTGTGACGTCCCACTTTGCCTAGGGAGAGAAGTTGCTGGCACTTATAAGGGGGATCCCTCCTACCCGTGCAGAGTGCAGATGCGTTCTGAAAACTGTGGGCACCAAGAGGGTGCAAAGTTAATAGTATCTGCACAATGTGTGGTGGGTCCAAACAGAGATCCATTTTTATTTGAAACCCCTCTCATTTCAATTGTATAAAGTATCTCTATGCCAATATCAATTTTTAATGTTCTACATATGTTACATGTCTCTATTCTTGAATGCCTCTGGAGATTGGTGTTATGTTCTAATCATTCTGGTGTCCTTTTCTATATTGATGGCAATGACAGCAAGCGGACACAGGTGTTATTAACCAGTGCTGCATATGTCCATTTAAAACACCTTGATGTTTCCAAGTACACCCGGAATCTTTCGCCTGCTAGCAGGGCTATATTGCTATCGGGGCCTGCTGGTATGTTATCTGGCCTTGTGTTGAAATGTTTATGTTTTTGACCCTCTATTTTGGCCTAAGTATGCTTCATTTCTTGTCTTTATGTATTTTGAAGAACTTTACCAGCAAATGCTTGCGAAGGCTCTTGCACATCACTTTGAAGCAAAGTTGTTATTATTAGATATAACTGACTTTTCCCTGAAGGTGACTGAGCCTAAGATCAATTTTTGTTAAGTTCAAAACTTGTCATTCTGTCACACTAAAAATCTGTTGTGGTTGATTTTCCTCAGATGCAGAGCAAGTACGGTAGTGCCAGAAAAGAATCAGTAAGTTTTCATTTATTTTCCTTGAGGGATTGGGCATCTTTCTTGTTTTTTAAACACTTAACAGATGAGAGTTTGTACATATGATAACGGATGCTGTAGTGTAAACTAAGTACAACTTATTTCTGCACTTTAAAAAATTGTTTGCCACATTTTAGTTTGCTTCTATAAGAGAGAACAAGTCGACCATTTAATGTCCACTGGACTATTTCCTGATTTAGTGGCTTTATTTTGTAGTGTTTAAATAGGTCTATCTCAGAGGTGACATTAGAACGAATGTCCAGCTTGCTTGGTTCCTTCTCAGTTCTTTCCTCAAGAGAGGATACTAGAGGTATGAAGCATATTCATATTTTCTTTATATTTAAAACATTAAGGTTTGGGAAGGTGATATTGCATGATCTTTTAATGGCTAATTGAATGCTTTATGACTTTCATTGATTTAAACATGATTTGAGGTTTATATCCTTGCGATTATGATTTAAAAATGCTCTGTTCAGTTAATTGGTGCAGGAATAATTATTATGGTTTAAGAAATGGCCTAGTTGGCAATTATCAACTTTATGATTTTTCATGACCATTTCCCTTTCCTTTATATTTATTTTATGTGGAGCTCCACGTACATATTTTGAACCATGTACTCCTCTGCATTAGGTAAATTGAATGTCAGTGCCTGTTCCTTTTCATAGTTCAAAGTGATAAATAATTGAAAACCCTGAAACTATGCTATATATTTTCTAACAACAGTTTAAAGTCAGCTAATTACCAAAAATCACAGTTTAAAGTCGGCTAATTATCGAAAATAACAGTTTAAAGTCAGCTGATTTATAGAATAAGGAAAAATGTAATAAACAAATCAAGAGAGAGCATTTTTATGTGGAAAACAATTTAATGTCAACAAAATCTTTTCCCAACTATTTGGGGTCGGTGCAAAACTAAAAGGACAAACAAACTATTTTCGGGTATTAAAGAACTGATCGGGTAAGGAAGATTGTCATACAACCACCAGAAGTTTCTCTCTTTTGGACAATGGACACATTCAACCTGCTCATTTTTTATGGTGTTGTGTCTTTCTGCTACTTAAAAAGTTGTCAAAGAAGGAAATTCAATATTTGTGATGCAATGGTGATCTTGCATTGTCGTTCATGATGTAAGTTTAAACTTCTATTTGGGTTTTTAATTTGGTTTGCTATAGCATACAGGTATATGTTGTGCCTTGAATGAGGTGTTTTGTACTGGTTACAAACATCAACTCATATTGTTCAGTTTTCATTTCTCTCTTGTTATTTTCATTTATGTTGATATTTTTCTCAACAACTTTCTTTGATGTCGCTCCAATCAAAAAATATCGTACAGGCACATTATACAGGCAGAGTAGTAGCATGGATATTAAATCAAGGTAGGGTACTTAGTTGTTACAGTTAGAACATAATACAGGCTTTGCCTTTTTTTTTTTTTTTTTTTTTTTTTTTTTTTTTTTTTGTATTTTTTAGGTTATTCGTCATTTATAATTTACCTATACTTCTAGGAGCATGGAAGGTTCTAATGATTTGCCGAAGCTTCGCAGAAATTCTTCAACTTCGAGTGATTTGAGTAGCGACAGCTCTCAGTGCTCTTCTTCAAATCTAGGTTGTAATTTGGAACTTGTGGTTTTTTTTTTTATTTTTTTATTTTATATATTTTCAGAAAACCATCTATGTATATTTTCTTAAGCAATGACTACTTTCATCATGTTTTCTATTTATTTTTTGTTACATGTTTGATGCATTGGTTCATTTGTCACGTTGGTTGCATTTAGACAACATCCATATATTTCTTAATATATGGTATTTTTTCTTCGGCCAAGAAGTGTTTCACTGCTAGCAGCTTTATAATTAAAAAGCACTTCTGGTTCATTGAGAACTTCCTTAGTATTGTTTCTTCTGGAGATTGCTGGGGTGGGAGGATAAAAAACCCTATACATTAATGGGGTTGAATATATGGTTCAATAAATTATATATAGGATATTCTCATCTTAATTTCTTCCAATCATATTTGTTTCTTTTCCATTAAGCCATAAGCGGCGACTTGGTTTGCTTTTACTGTTATGTTTATTGACCTAATTTTCTCTTGTACTGATTATACATTGTGATGATGAACTCCTAGTGTTTGTACTTGATATTATAGTTATACCGAAGTTCCCGTTTTGAGGTGTTTATTGTCAAAAAAATTAATTCCAAAGGTGTGGTTAAGGCACAATACTCACAAATCACAAGTACTCTTCATTGGAGATATTTACTTTTATCATTTTATGTTTATTGGCCTATTTTTCTCTTGTACTGATTATACATTATGATGGTGAACACTTGTTTGTACCCGATATTATAGTTATATTGAAGTTCCCTTTTTGAAGTGTCAATTGTCAAAAAATTAATTCCAAAGGCATGGTTAAGGCACAGTACTCACAAATCACAACTCGCAAGTACCCTTCATTGGAGATATTTATCCACAAAACTAATTTCATATTTATATTTTGTTTAAAGAAATTTCTGGGTCTCAATTATTGGAACTTTCTGATTCTGAGATTTTTTCTGTGGAATTTTCTTTTACATTTTGGATAGATAATTAGTAATAAAGTTGTCAGTAAAATTTGAGATAATGAGATTTTTTTTATTCAATCTGTGTTCCTGTATAAAGTTTATCTCAACTGTGAAGTTATTAAGTTATGGTTATACGAGTGGTAGCTGTGGATGGGGTATTAACAGATTCATAATTCAAATTCTTGTCAATTTTACACTGTCCCTTTTTATCAGCATTTATTTGGTATTTTATTTTCTCATTCTTTTGAACATCATCTATTGCGAACTTGTTATAGTGTTATGTCCAGATAAGTCTTGAACAGTTCCTTTTAAATGGATGGCAGATTATCTAGTTGTTGTTTTTTCTGATCCTTGGTACGTATTTTTTATTTTTAGCTCCTCTCAAGCGCATGAGCAGTTGGTCTTTTGATGAGAAACTTTTCGTACAATCACTTTACAAGGTAAAAATACATTACCATGACTGAGTTGCTTGCTTTAAACTTCATAATGCTATATTCCGTTCGTGGTTGTGCTTTTGATGATTTATTCACTCCCGAAAAAAAAAAAAAAAGAGAAGGATTGTGTAGCTTTTAGGTATTTGATAAGGTACTGACTGTAAGGTAGGTTATTTCACTTGCAGGTTTTGGTTTCAGTCTCTGAAACCAGTTCCATTATACTGTACCTCAGGGGTGTAGAGAGGCTTTTTGTCCAATCCCAAAGGCTGTACAAATTGTTTGATAGGATGTTGAAGAAAGTATCAGGATCAGTGTTGGTACTTGGTTCCCGGATGTTGGACCCAGACGATGACACTGAGGAAGTGGACGAGAAACTTACTCATTTATTTCCATACAATATTGACATTAGGCCACCTGAAGATGAGACTCATCTTGTAAGCTGGAAAAGCCAATTGGAAGAGGACATGAAGAAGATACAGTTTCAGGATAACAAAAACCATATTGCTGAGGTTCTTGCAGCGAATGATCTTGAATGTGATGATTTAGATTCAGTTTGCCTTGCAGACACAATGGTTCTCAGTTATTACATACAAGAGATTGTGGTATCAGCAATATCTTATCATTTGATGGATAACAAAGATCCAGAATACCGAAATGGAAAACTTGTTATATCATCTAAAAGGTAGATGCCAAAATTCCTCTTGCTATAATATTTCTGCTTCTTTCCTTATTTGTTTCTGCTGTTTTTTCCCTTTAAACAAGTTCATTGTCATTTACTTTCTTTCCCTTGAAACAGTTTGTCCCATGGATTGAGTATCTTCCAGGAGGGAAAAAGTGATGGGAAAGATACTCTTAAATTGGAGACAAATGCTGAATCTTCTAAGGTTTGTTTGACATCTCAAATTCTACTTGTCAACAATCTTAAAATAGTGGAATTGATGTTGTGATTGTTGACATGGTTTAATTATATTTTTCTTGTTTGTCAATTCTAGACTGAAGGTGAAGGAAATATTGGGTCAAAACCTGATTCGAAGTCCGAGATCCTGACATCTGAAAACAAAAATGAGACTGAAAAATCAGTTCCTTCAGCAAAGAAGGATGGTGAGAATCCATCTGCATCGAAAGTACCGGTGAGTTGGATAATATCTTAATAGGAAATAGAGATAAGGATGAGTTAAAAGAAAGATGAAACCCAGAGGGAGCATACATAGCTCATCAGACGTCCAACAGATCCAAGCATGAATCCCATTAAATTCCAATGAAAAGTTTAATGCAATTTGGATTCATACTATCACTAATATCACTATCATCTGAAAGTTGAATAGTGTAGTAGCAACTTAATTTTTTCTCAATAATCAGAAATAATGTTGTTGCCAGGATTGGAGTTCAAAATTTACTGCACTACAAATTTTGATAATTTATGAATTCATTACCAGGATTCACAAAATCCTTGGGATTCAGTAGTCATTGGAATTTTATTAGTATTGATTCTCTTTTCTCCTGATAGGAAGTTCCTCCTGACAATGAGTTTGAGAAGCGCATAAGGCCGGAGGTTATTCCTGCAAACGAGATTGGAGTGACATTTGCAGATATTGGTGCTCTGGATGAAACTAAAGAATCACTTCAGGAGCTCGTAATGCTCCCTCTTCGAAGACCAGACCTTTTCAAAGGCGGGCTTCTTAAGCCTTGTAGAGGAATATTGCTTTTTGGACCTCCTGGTACTGGAAAAACAATGCTGGCAAAGGCCATTGCCCATGATGCTGGAGCAAGCTTCATCAATGTCTCAATGTCAACCATTACTTCAAAATGGTTTGGGGAAGATGAAAAGAATGTCCGTGCTCTGTTCACACTTGCTGCAAAGGTTTCTCCGACTATTATTTTTGTGGATGAGGTTGATAGTATGCTGGGGCAGCGGACAAGAGTTGGGGAACATGAGGCTATGCGGAAGATTAAGAATGAATTCATGTCACATTGGGATGGACTGATGACAAAATCTGGTGAGCGCATTCTTGTTCTTGCGGCAACCAACAGGCCATTTGACCTTGATGAGGCAATTATTAGGCGGTTTGAGCGCAGGTATATTTGCATATTTGTCACAATTAGTATCACCCATACTTCTATGCGTTCTTTTCTATATAAATCGATATATTCGGCAATGACATGTATCTTTAGTATTTACCTAAGTTGATCCATCAAGGACCTTTATGTGCCATTGTGCCTTCACCCTTGCCTTTATGGACCAGGCTTCTCTCCTGTCCTTTATTTCTGCTGGTGGATCCAGTGGACAACATTGTGTCATGTCAATAGTAAAAGTAAAGATGGACTGTTATCTAGGTGTTAAATGACTTGTCAGTTGCATTATCAAATTTGACTGTTCATCTTGATGTTTTCGGCATTAGAATAGTTCCATCTAGTAAGTTCTGAAAGAGACAAAAATGATCTGGTCAATTGCAAAATTGGTTGTTCCAAACATATATGCCATTCTTAATTACAGCTGTCATGGAATGATAAAATTACGTATAGATTAGTTCGAATTATATATTTTTAGTTTTAGTGTCTGAAGTCAGTGGCGATTTTCTTGGTTACTAGTAAAAGCTCAGGTTGCTAAGCATGAGAATGTGAATTTGAGTCTCAGAACAGCCATTTTAAGCAAAACAATGTCAAAATGTACGTTTTTGTCCATTCCAACAACTGGCATATGTAAAATTAACACTGGATAATGACTTTTTTAGTGTCCCAAGTCAAGAATCATTAATTACCAGTACTCTCTCTGAGCTTGTTGGAATGCTTCTGTAGTAATAAGCAGCTCGAAGAAATAAATTGCAGAAATATGTAATTGTTACTAAGCTTTGTGTTTTCTGGCAAACAGGATCATGGTTGGTTTACCATCTGTGGAGAGCAGGGAAATGATATTGAGAACTCTTTTGGCAAAAGAAAAAGTAGAAGATCTAGATTTCAAGGAACTTGCAACCATGACAGAAGGATACAGTGGAAGTGATCTTAAGGTCTGTATTTCGATAAATAATCATTGTTTAATTGAATTTCCATAACCGGCATTGACTTTCGGCATTACCTGTTGGAATGCAGAATTTGTGTGTGACAGCAGCTTATCGGCCTGTTAGGGAGCTAATACAACAGGAGAGACTGAAGGATAAGGTATGCTCTAACATTCTAAGATAGATCTTCTCTTTCTAACTTGCTTTTGACTGTATTATGCTCCACATATATACACATTACATATTTTCTGAATTTATCTTTTCCAATTACTTCTTTATGCAGGAAAGGAAGGAGAAGGACGAGAAAGGGAAGAGCTCGGAGGAGGATGCTTCAGAAACAAAAGAGGAAGAAGGTAAAGAGGAAAAAGTGATTATTTTGAGGTCCTTAAACATGGAAGACATGAGGCAGGCAAAGAATCAGGTAATACAAAGGATATAACCAGGAACCAAACCAGAATCTATTATTGATATTTATATATTAAACACTGAAAAAACATTTTTGTGCACTGTAGGTTGCTGCCAGTTTTGCTTCGGAGGGATCTATAATGGGTGAACTGCAGCAGTGGAATGATTTATATGGAGAAGGAGGTTCGAGAAAGAAGCAGCAGTTATCATACTTCTTTTAGATTGTACAATGTAGGCATCTTATACATTCATTAGGATCATTCTTTGTAAAAGGGGGAGGTGAAGGTTTGGAAAACGAAAAAGCGGTCTCATTTAAAATCCCAGTTATTCCACGACAGAACGGTGAAAGCTGGACATCCAAGTCCTCGCATCAAAGGAATTCCTGACAACCCCATGAAAGCTTGTTGTGGCATGTAATATATTTCTGAAAAAGGATGATTTTTTGATATTCTTATTTTGTGCTTGAGGGTGGGAGAGTTCGTAATATTTATTAGGCCACTGTACTGGTCATATTTATTAGGCCACTGTACTCATATGTCATGTATGTTGATGTTGTGTGTGTATTATTTGGAAATTCACATGGTTTTCAGAAACGGGGAGATGTTTATATGGGATTTCTTACAGGAATTGTGTAATGAAAAGTTGATTCGATTGTAAATTTGTAGATTATGATTGTGTAAAGATGATTCTATTATACATTGTGTTTGTATTCTGATGATTAAAATTGAATGTTATCAAAGTTGTTCATGCACAACTAGTGCGGGAACGAACGGCTCTAATATATTTCCATCACTAGACCAAGAGCATTTAATTTTTTCTACTATAAATAAATTAAATTTGTAATTTTATGAATCATATTCTTAGTGATGACAAAGAGGTGGCAACAACAAATATTCCTTTGCGTATAAGTAAGTTGCATCCTCCTTTATGCAGTTGGGCTAATTTGTACAAACATTAACTCTAGTTTTAATAATAACACTGTTCTTCCCTAAGTCACATAATCCTTCTCAACAGGTGTCGTCGCTTTGAGCTCGTTCCCGCTCTCACGCTCCGCGTGAGCTCTCGCTCAATTTCTCTCTGTTTATGATTTAATTCTGCTGCTTTCGAATTCGCTTTCGCCCTCGCTCCCGCTCCTCCTCCGCTCTATGTAACTCAGGTTATTCTTGGTGGAAAAATAAGGCTCAAAATCCATTGCATGTAATTTTACAATATTAACCTTACTATTTGAACGAAGATTAATTCAAAATTATAGTTTAATCAACCCCAAATACAGACAAATATATTTAATATACACCTTTACAAGTATATTCCTTGTTCTGAAATTGTTCCACCTCCACTGTGAGCAGGACATGGTGAAGGGTGTGTATGGTGGCCGAGATTTGATGACAAATTGGGGTGGGACTGAGGGAGCGATGGGTGTCGTTTGGTGACAATGGATTTGGATATTTTTTTATTGTGCCCAAACATGGATGGAAATGGTGGTGGTGGGGGTCTATTGGGTAGTGTTGTTCTGATTTAGGCCGACAACTATCCACCTCGACTTCACCCCAATCCCAGTTCTCAAACCTCCCCCAACCTCTCTCCTCTCAACACCCACAAAACCAAATATTTCCAACTCCAATTCAAACCCCACCACAACCCAGTATGATCCCTCTTCGAGGAGCACGAAAAAGCTTCGGAATGTGGCCGTGATGAAAGATCGGTGCTTTAATAATTCTTTTATTTTAGATTAACTTGTCGAGAATTTGGGAAGGGTCCCTCCCCATCACGAGCCAAGTAAGTTGCGGAGAAGGTGTAGCTTCAAGAAAATTATTTCCACCTAATGGAGTTGAACCTCATACCTGATTCATGAGGCATCGGCAGGGCGAAGTGACCTTACCATTGGGCCAACCTCTTGAGGGGTTTTTTTACCAAATTTTTTTTTTTTTTTGAAGAGCTGGTTAGCTATGAATAAGCTTTTAATATTTCTTCCAACAAGAGGATACATGGGTTGAGGTATTTGATGAAGAGTGTTGTTTCAATTTTTATGAAGGGTGGCCGCTTAGTGTTGGGATATGGAGAATTTAAGGGTGTGTGTGGATAAATAAGGGAGAAAAGAAAAGAAATGATAATATTAGTTAGAAGAGAAAAGAAAAGAAAGAATAGTAATAATTTATATTCGTGTTTGCATAGATAGGGGAAAAAAGAAAAGAAATGATAGTTATTCTTCTTTAGACAATAAAGAGGAGAGAAGAGAAAAGAAAGGATAGTGACCAATTACTGTCCTACTCTTCATAACCACTTCATCATTATCTATTTCCAAAATTATATATATATAATTTTGGAAATAGATGGGTTGAACCTCATACCTGATTCATGAGGCATCGGCAGGGCGAAGTGACCTTACCATTGGGCCAACCTCTTGAGGGGTTTTTTTACCAAATTTTTTTTTTTTTTTGAAGAGCTGGTTAGCTATGAATAAGCTTTTAATATTTCTTCCAACAAGAGGATACATGGGTTGAGGTATTTGATGAAGAGTGTTGTTTCAATTTTTATGAAGGGTGGCCGCTTAGTGTTGGGATATGGAGAATTTAAGGGTGTGTGTGGATAAATAAGGGAGAAAAGAAAAGAAATGATAATATTAGTTAGAAGAGAAAAGAAAAGAAAGAATAGTAATAATTTATATTCGTGTTTGCATAGATAGGGGAAAAAAGAAAAGAAATGATAGTTATTCTTCTTTAGACAATAAAGAGGAGAGAAGAGAAAAGAAAGGATAGTGACCAATTACTGTCCTACTCTTCATAACCACTTCATCATTATCTATTTCCAAAATTATATATATATATATATATAATTTTGGAAATAGATAATGATGAAGTGGTTATGAAGAGTAGGACAGTAATTGGTCACTATCCTTTCTTTTCTCTTCTCTCCTCTTTATTGTCTAAAGAAGAATAACTATCATTTCTTTTCTTTTTTCCCCTATATATATATAATTCAATGCCATGGGTAAAAACAAAAGTAAAAAATAAAAAGAAAAAAGAAAAAAATATCACAAGGCTAACATGAACCATTCAACATGGTTGAATGTAATAATAGTCTTTAACCTTTTTTATGAGCATGTGAAAATTTTATTTTTGTTGTATCTGTTATACTTATCTGACTCAATCATTTCCAATCCTAAAATTTTTAATAAACTTTTAGCATTGTCATACATCCTTGCATTTCACTAAGCATATTAGAACATAAATGGAATTACATTTATATATGTTGATTTATAAAGGGTATTTTTGGTATTAATAATTTATAACTTACTATCTCTATCTTTCTCTATCTTCTCAAATTATGAGAGAAATGATATAAGGCATAGGGAGGGATAACTATCCCTGCTATCCCTCCCTATCTCTCTCTATCCTCTCTTTTCTCTCCACTTAACCCACCCAAACACACTCTCAAACCATCCTCTCTTTTCCTTTCTCTCCATATCCCTCCAAATCAACCCTACCAAACACACCCTAAGAGAAATTTAAGACTTGGTGAGGGGTATATGCATCTTTAGGTATATGTCACACATTTCTGACGCATTTGTTTAGGTGTCCAATGGTAATTGGTCCAATTACACATTTCTGACATACAATGGTCCCGAAATCATGAAATAATCTCTCCCATTTTTTATTTTTGGCAAACTATGGAGAGAACTTGAACAAAGGCACACTCGCTTGGAGAGCTGAACTGAGTAATGCCCTCCCATTTTTTACTTGAGTCCAACGTCATATAACAAGTTTGAACAAGGACGAGTGTAGATTGCTACATAAGAGATGTGAATTATCGCATAAATGATATAGAATGGAGTGGCATGAGAGGAAATCCAAATTTGTACAGGAATACAAAGGTTTATTCCAAATGGTACCCACCCTTTTACTTTGAAAGGGAAGGTTGAGAGTTCAACTTCCGTTAGGACGTTTATAATTACCTATCCAAGAGAAGGAAAAAAAAAGTCCAACCAGAATTTTCAGTCGCTCTCTGGAAGTGCTAAATTTGACAGACACAAACCCCCCATTAGAAATAGCCGTGGTCCTTAGTTCTCACTTCTCAGGTTTGATCAAAGTTCCTCAAGATGTTCTTGTTCACATCTTCAGTTTCTTAGATCTGTGACCTTCAGTTTAGTCTGATGGAATAGATTTAGCAAGTAGCAAGGTAGTAATTCACTCTGACAATGAATCACAAGACAACACAAATAAATGTCATAATTCATTATTCAAACCATAAATATCTATATAATTCATGTGGGTCTCCCATCGGTACAAAAATTCTGGCACAAACAAGACCTAAAACTTGGAATCATCTCTGATAATGCCATATTCATTTAAATTGTGAACCCAAACGTATGAAAAGCATAGCCAATAAACAAGGGTGTTCTACCAGCTATATCATCACAACAACTAATTGGAAACGCACAGTTGACCACGTCAATGTGAATCCAGTATAACCACCTCCGCCGTCTCTAAGCCACCTTCTTCTCTTTCAATGGGCGTCTCGGAATCTTGCTTAAAACCTTGGCATCAAAAAATGCATATTGCTTCTTGATCTCAGACTCTGCTGTCTCAGCAAAGGAGTGAACCTGGTCCTCATATTTCTCAAAAAGCACAGGCACCGTATGCAGAAAAACAAAACCTGTTCGTTCCAAAATAAGGAAAAAAAGAAAAGAAAAGAAAAGAAAAAGAAAAAAGAATGAAAACAATTAAACCATCTTCAAGATTAATGAGCATATGTTAAGAACATACAAACATAATTGAATAAAATTCTCACATATGTAGAACAAGGTCAGGAAGCTACAGCAACTCCCCACAATTGAAAGAACCCACAAGAAAACAATTGCCTGACAAGCAGAACACCATTATCTTAGAAGCGGAATATGATAAATCTCAAATGACTATCGGGAAATTTTAATATACATTGTCTTGGAAATATAGGCCTAGTAGATCCCTAAATTTGCATCTGAAACCAACTATAAGTTGAAGTAATCTGCCATTTATTATTCCGAGTTCAACCTACCTGGGAGTCTGGAACCCATTTGGAACATCAATATATTTGCTTGCAAACAAGAAATCAAGTTCTTTAACAATAAACGAAAGAATGAGAGAAGAAAACTTACAGCAAGAAATTTCTTCAAATCTCTCCCAGATGCAATATCTCGGGAGATTTCAATAACTCCGTTGATTTCAATTGTCAGGGCAGAGGCAATGCGCAGGACAATGTCCTCAGAAAGTGCAAGTTCTGGAATTTGAGGTGGAGATCTAATCATGTGAAAAAGCAAAGTCAAGAGGTAGACAAAATAAATAAAAAAGGCAGTGCCGTATGAAGAATATCAAACAGCTTACTTGTTCATTAAGGTAGATGTATTCGACCAGAGGAAAAAAATCGACAGACTAAAGATTATAACATGGCACGCAAAAGTCAGCAAGTGGTACTCAAGAAGTTCAAACAGCACCCAAATCGCAGTGGCTACACCAAGCACACAAGCAGAAACTTTCTTGTCTCTCCACATGAACACATCAGAAGCTGCTGCAAAAGGTCATCGTACAATGATATTTGTTGAGAGAGTAAAAACGTTCTCTGAGTAATTCTAGAGAAGTAGAATGGAATATACTAAAATAAAACACGAATGCATCAGGTTCCAAAATGTCAAAGTATTCCTACACCTCACCACCACATCAACGCGACACGGCTACCACTGACTCGACCAAAGAAAAATAAAAACCCACAACTTCATATCAACCGAGCAATGGATAGTCACATCCTTTTGCCTTCCACATGACAACAAACTCAAGTAATTCATCCCAATAATTCAGATGGGCTAAGCTGAAGCTTGTAAAATACAAGTATTGGACTTCATCTTTTTTCCTTATTCATTATCACCAACAAAATTACGAAACATGGGTAAAAGAGGAACTTATTTACAATAATAAAAGATAAACTATAAGACAATAGCATATAATACATAAAAATGTTGAAAGAGTTCAATGTGCTGTCCAACCACTTAGACAAGCAAACACAATGTTGATACGATACAATGAAATCTAAAGCAAGTAAAAGCATACTGTCAATTCAATATACCTTGTCCAACCAGTTGGAATTGTGCTCATCTATGGCATTCGCATTCAAATCAAATAACATGTAACAATCCGCTCACAGAGAGTATTATTAGAGCTACTTTGCCTAACAACCTAATTCAACCATCTTCCACTTCAGTCAGAGGCATCAATATGAAGAAATGAAAATCACAATTGCTTTACATACAAACATATACATACACATGTTTATATTTACAATATTCCTAAAAGCAAAGAATTTAAAGGAGAAACCACAAGTTTAAGAGAACAAATTGAACCATTATATATATATATGTGTGTGTGTGTGTGTGTATTCTGAAAAAAAAAAAAATTGTACTTTTTCTCAGCATCAGCAAAATTAAATATAGTTTCAACATTTCACTAAATAAAAAGCGATTTTATTACACGCCCAATCAAAAAAAAAAATGCAGAGAAATCCATGGTGATAATCGCACTACAACGTAGAAACCAATGAACAAGTTTCATAAACTTAACACTCATTAATCTCAAACAAGGAACACAATTTAAATTCTATTGTCGCCATGAATTGCAAAACTAATTGCAAAATACTAATCGTGTGCACTGAATTATAAACCCTAATTTATAATTTCAAAAATTTCGTGTATATATATATATATGTGTGTGTGTCTAGGTGTGTATATAGAGAGAGGGGTTATGAATAATTGCGTACATTTTCCGTCAGCGAAGGGAGGCTTCTCCCTTCCGAAGGCGCGATACATATTGGATTTGATGGAAGACGAGGAAGTGTCGTAGTCAAACGACGTCGAATCGTGGCCGTGAAACTTCTCCATGATCGTCTCCAACACACCATCGACGGTAGATTCTAACTGGTCGGTGCGACCGGCCATCGCGACTTCCGATCGATCAGACTTCGCCGCCGGTAATCGGACCTCTCAGCAGTCAGTCGGCTGCTTCGTCTGAGAGTTTTTCTCGCTTAATTACAATCGCACCCCTGAAGTAAGCACTAATTACACGCCGCGATTCGGATGCCAAGCCTAGTGGTGGTTCCGGTGATAATGGTTGCAGCAACTAAACGAGTTGTTGGCGCGTCCATCTTCACGTTTGATAGACTTTTTTACAGCTTTCGTTGGGATTGTTGACCTGCTTGACATCGGACCAATTGATGATGTATATATATATTTTTTCTGTTATTTTTCATACGTTACCATGTTAAATATATCAGACCAGAAATATCTAGATTTAATGTGTTAAAAATATAGGATTGGAGTCAAGAACAATTAGTCATTCAACAAGGTAAGGGTGTGTATTTGTAAAATAAATAAAAAAAATACAAAGCCAATGATGTAGTTAGAAATTTAATTTAGTGGGGATAAAAGTTAAGAATTTTATTTTTATCAAAATAAAATTTAGAGATTTCATATTTTAAATGTTGCAGGATAATTTCTTTTGATATATAAAAGATAATCCCGATAAATTGAGAAATTCTTCTTTTTTATTTGTTACTTAAAATGGAATTTTAATTCAATAAAATGGAATTTTAATTCACAAAGAACAAGATTGGGTGAAAAATAAATAAGTGTTAAATATTTTCTTTATTGGGTAAGTTCGATGGATAAAAAAAATAGAATTAATTACAATATACCCCCTTGTCATCACATAAAATGACTTAAATACTTTTTTAACTTTGTGTTGGCTTGTACACAATATAAGTAATTATGAAACTACTTAATAACCCATATGACTCATTTTAAATTACAAAAATGCCCACAGTTGAACAAACACCTCCATTTCTATTGTACCCATCTCTGATAATATCACACAGAGACCCTTCGTCCATAGGTATTAAAGTTCTTTGCAAATTTCAATTTTATAAATTAAAAAATATATATAGAAAAATTGTGTAAAACTCTCTAGACTTTATTTCAATTAGTTCGAGGCGATTTGGTACTTTCCATTCGCTGCTATCTGATATTAGAGGACTCTAGACTTTTTGTATCAAGGATAATAAAATTTGATCTGAAAAAGAAAATAATTGACATCAAAACTTTTAATTTGAGAATTAAATTGTTTGAAAACATAATGATAATAAGATCTTCACGGCATCATTTGTGATTCATATATGGGCTGCTTATGTTGAGTGTACCATACAAAATGATTTGAATATTGGTGGAATCCACTTACCATATTAATTGACCCATAATGAATGAATAAATACTTTTATCAATCAAATACATAGATTTCTTTGACTTTGATTAATTTAATTAGAACATCATGAAAGAAAATAAAAAAATTAGAATAATTATCGATAAATATACTTTTATTTAAGCAAAGCGGTCGTATATGGGTAGAAAGAGTTTTGATTCTCCCTTTCTAAACATGCCCCTATAGTCATCAACACACTCCAGTTTTGTATTCGAGTCTTTAAAAGAATAAAGTGAGCTTATGAGTAATGCGTATATTTCTTTACCAATGTATATATTTATTATTTTTTTTTTTTCGTGCCGAGCCTTTTAAAACACACAATAAGGAAACAATTGATGGGTTGTATTGGGCTCGAGTTCATTTATTTCAGGACTGTGTTCCCCCCTCACAGAGGATTTGAATCCAATGTACAACAGCTTGTCCAAGTGATCATGAAATTTAAAAGGCTATATAATAAGTAGTTGATTGGGTCATGGGCCTCGACCCATGATATTCCAGTGGTCCAATTATAAGAGTTGCAGTTGACGGTTTTAAAGATAATTATGGCGTATAATTATAATGATTTCTTATGTTGATTTAAAAATCACACTTGCTTTTTTTCTTTCATTTTTTATTTTTTTTTTATTATACAGTAGTAATTGTTCAAATGATAGAATCGTATCACAAGATTAAATTATACAGGAATAGAATTTTTTTTTTTTTGGGTAACGAAAAATGAACTTACTTACTAATCACTTTGCCATTTGGGATGATTTGAAAACTCTGAATGCATGCGATGGTTCACAAACAATATGCATCAATTAAACTTGTGTCTTATTTTCGTTGAGATTTGAACTAGAGGTAAGGACTCTTACTCTCTAGTGAGGTTTTCACATTTATTTCTTAAAACACATGATTATCATCTAATACATATTGTTACAAGGAGAATTTTGTCCCGTATCGGATTCAGAAGGCCTCACCAAATAGCTTAACATTTTGAGTTGAACCACAAAACACCGAACCTATTATAGTTAGTATAAAAACCAAATTTAGTCCTTGATCCGATATTATGATATTAATATGCTGATTCACATATAGGTTGTTAGAAAATAGACATTCCACGTGTGAGCAACTAGGGTTGGTTATGGGTAGGTTATACACACACACTCCACCTAGTTGTGGGTTGTGTTTTCTCCCCCCTTCAAGCAAGACACATCTAGAGTTTGTTGTGCAATGCCATTCCAATGCCATTCTGACTCCCAACCCCCCTACAAAAAAGCAGATAGTCATTAACCAAAACCCCATCTGTCAGTTTTGTCACAAGTTAAAAACTTCAATTACACTCATTCTTCATGTCAAAAATAAATAAAGAAGAAAAAAAAGACCCCACCATTCACAAAAATCTCTAGGGCATCATTCCACTTACCAATCAATCCGATATTCACTAAATTACACACACACACACACACACAGAGACATCAGGGAGAAAGTACAAAAGTCATATATGGTAGGCTCAGGTTAAAAAGGAATTTAGATGGGGTCTATTATGGTTCACCTGAGATGACAACAAGGAGAGGGAAAAAAATGAAAAGAACAAATGGTGGGGTCAATCTTCACCCTTTAAAACCAAAAAAAAAGTAGCATTAGAAATTCCAAAGTTGTTAGTTACCACCATGATTCCTGGTGCAGAATCTTACATACCATTATTACCATCATGAGATTGTCATCCATACAACAAGGTGTATCTATATATATATATATATATATATATATGTATATGTATGTATGTAAATATTATAAACATATACTACACATGAAATTTATGCGGTGTGGTATTAGTATTCTTAATAGAATAGGGTCCCACTAAGAAAGACATTTCTCCAGCTTATGTATTGTAAGTATGTCACAAACAAGAAACAAAAGCTACCATTATGTGATTTTTGAATATGGGATGGTGGGTATCATTTCTGTTCACATGAAATATATGCAGTGGATATAAGTCATGCATGGTAGGGTCCACTTAGGGAGGACATTTCTTATTGCATGCCACATTAAACAAGAATGAAAAGGTACCACTAATTATGAGGTTTTTGAATTTTGTAATGGTTCACGAGACATTGTTGGATGAAGTGAATCAGCTTACGTCTTCTAAAACTTAATTTCTTATATTTAATCCAATTTTTTTTATATTTAATATGTTGGATGGATGCGGCCTTGGACCACATTAAGAAAGTAATCATGGACCATGCATCAAACCCCTCCCACAAAATGTGTGGATTTGATTTTAAAAGACATTAAGGTTATTAGATAATATTGTGAGTTCGTACATATAATGTGCAAATACTTTTATGATGTTCGAAATTTTTTTTACATTTTTTAAATTGAGCAAATAATACTTCGTAACATTTTGTAAATTTAAAAATAGGAATATCTCTAAAATATTTTTCAAGGTAAAATAAATATAAAAAATTTTAATTTTGATTTTTAATGGTACATTAAGAGTATTTTATATACAAAAAAAAAAAATGATCAAAATTAACGGTCAACAAATATTATGGGACAATTTGTATATATTTTCAAATGACGGGGATTTATATATCCATACAAAAATAGCAGTAGTGTTTTTTTGCACAAATTTTATATAGAACATTTTTTTTTTCTCTTTTTCACTTTACCATATAATATATGTGTGGAAGGAATTTATCTACAAATTAAATCATCACCATTAGATCTTGTCAGACACAAACAAACATGAACAACATTTTTAACTATTCAATGAAATCTGACGGTTAAGATTTCAATTGCATATGCATTTTCTTGTACAGTGAAAAGTAAGGCAACATTTCTTAAAGTATAAATAAACAATAAATTGACATTAATAAATAAAAAAACAATAAATTGTGGGTAAATGAACACAAACTTGAGTGGATAGTCCTTGCCTCAACAAGGGACTAACCATAAATTGCTTTGAATATATTCTGATATTTTCTTTAGCATTTTTGCTTTTCATGTATAGCCCTCGTTCATTACAAGGGGTTGAGATTATCCACACAAGTTAGTAGATGGAGCTTTGAAAGTCAAACCTTTAAATGTTAGAGTCAAACCTCTTTTAATGGCAGGTGAGTGAACATGCGTGCCCTATCTGGACCCTGTTCAACCCTTTACAAAGGTAAAGAAAGAACCCTATGTCTGATTTTAAAAAAGACTGGGAAAGGCAAAGTGCAGCCTCAACAGTGACCTCTCCCTCTCTCTCCCTCTTTCTCTCTCTAGAGTCTTTTCTTTTTGGCTTTTTTCCCTTTTTCTTTTTCTGCTCCTTTTGGAAGTTTCCCCTCACCCTCCTAATGTTTTACTGTATATACCAGAAAAAAATCTCATTTGCCCAATGTATAGTTACGTCCTAGATCTTCCTTGTTTTGGAATCAATGGATGGTTTTTTTTAATTGCAACTATAAAAATTTACATGCTTAATGTTTTAAAAGGGATTAATAAAAATTAATGAAATAATTTGTTTATTGTAATTAAATATTTTTTTTTAAAAATTTTTATGTTTTTAGCAAATCTCAAAATTTATAAATAAATTTTTTTCTTCACCAAAATGTCAAAAATAACTTGATTGCATATCTTCAACAAAAGTTGTTGAGTTTTATAAGCACGATGATACGTAGTCAAGATGGAACGCATAAAATTTTGGACCGAGGAAATTGAAGAAAAGAAATAAAAGGAAAAGAAGATGGAATGTTTGCATTTTTAAAAGTCACATCAACATTTTTAAGAGTCATATTAGCATTTTGGACTTTCAAAATTTTAGATATCACAGGTGTTTCAATGGTGTGTTTTTGCTCTAAAAAATATTAATATTTTAAATTAAAAAAAAAAACTTTTTTCCAGCGGCTATATTATAAAAAAATTAAATAATACAATATCCATTATGGATTAAAAGAAATTAAAACAGTACAATATCATTTTATTTTATTTTAAAAAATAATAAACAATACAACATCCATTAATTAAGAGATTAAATATCACAAGGATTATAAAATCAACTAGGAAAAAAAAAAAAAAAAAAAAAACAATCATGTGGGAAGTTTGAGCTAATCTTATAAGAAGCTTGAGTTAGTGCGTAAACATATAAATTCTAATATTTCTTTTGTCATTCCATAAGCCATATTATTGCCATCAATTCCGGATCTCTTTGCATAATTGACATTTCTTTATTTCTTTCTTTGTTTTGAAGTTCCGTCAGTCTAGTGTTCTCTTTCTCTGCTAGGCGTGCCTATCATGTTATTTGAGCGGTTGCAAGACTTTTAGTTTGAAACTGATAATGGGTTGTTGCATTATCGAATTTACTAATGAATAAACATGTAATTGGCCAAAAGATTTATCTTTTCTGCTTCCCTACTTAATTTTAGTCCTTGTGGTCACTGTAATGGTTGAGATTCTTCAACACGGGTGAATCTTCTTCACCTATGTGTGTTGATCCTTCAGCCGAACTTGGTTTCGTTGCTGCATTACTTGATAGAGTAGATGGGTTTGAGTAACCGACATGCTCACTATCATTAATGTGGATTCTACTCTTCTTCTTCGACTGCTGCTTCTTTTTGTTTTTCTCTTGCTGATTGGCACAATGTGAATGCCATTTACTGTTATGATTCAAAATATTCCAACAACTGTCTAACTTAAATTTGGTGCCAATTTGACTAGCGAATATATGTTTAGCTGCTATCATCTAAATGAAAAAAAAAAATCAGTATGTAATTATTGGAAGGAAAATGTTTAAAATATTTACGAATTAAATTTAACATAGTAAAAAACTTATCTTGTACTCATTGTCTTAACCCATTAGTAAGATTCCTTTCTATCTGGGCCATACATCCATAAAATTTGGTAATTTTTTTGTGATGAAGGACTAACAATTCAACAAAGTGTTGCTATTTCGTTTAGTTATGCCATTAATATGTTGCTCAAAATTTTCATAAATTCGGGCTTTAGAACCAATGCTCATTTATGCAAAACATAAAGCCTCATCTTTGGGTGTGGACCAACTGGGGGGCGGTTAACCTTTTACTTTCTGAAAAATTGGGAGTTACTAGATTGTGGTACTTTAGTACCTGTTAAAAAATTAGGATGGATGATTAGATGGAAATTGGGATTCTCTTCCATAAAATTTGTCAAATGACTCACAATCATCATTTGATTGGTTAATTTGGAGGTTGTTGTTGTAATATGATGATCGATGATCGTGGATTTCAATTCACTTGAGTATTAGAAAAATAACTAAGTTCGAGAAAATGATTGGGGGGTTGTAGTTGTAGGTTGAAGGAGTAGAGAATATAGATATATTGGATGTGAGGTGAATGATAATAGGGATTGATGTATATATAGGAGAAAAGAAAGGATAAATTTTTTTTAAAAAATAAAATAAATAATAATTTTTTTGGGCCAATATCCATTAAGGCATTATTTGTGTCAACCAAACAATGTCTTTGGCTATAATATCAGTAGTGCGCAAAAAAAGTAAATAAAAAATAAAAACAAGAAAATTTGAATTTGTACTTTTATTGCCCCCAAAAAAACATTTTTGGCATGGTTTCTATAAGCTAAATAGTGGCTTAATGGTTCTTCATTTCAGTATTGTTTAGGGGGGAAAAAAAGAAGAAGCCAAAAGACTAATTTTTGACAATTATCTGAATCAAAGAAGCCCTTAGAGCCGTTGCTACAGTCCTCTGGGATTGTTTTATTTTTGGATTAAGTGCAAAAAACCCCATTCTATTATCAATATAGTGCAAAACAGTCCTTGTGTGGTATAAACCCCCCTATACTATCAATTGCGTGTAATTACCTCCCTGTTCGCATAAAAAGACATTAATACGCTCTCTAATATAAATTTCTATGTTAAGTGCGAAAAAAACCCCTGATATATAGGGTTTGTGCATAAATATGCCATACTTTTGGAAAATGTATATTTCAGTCCATAAAATTCAAAAAAAGTGCAAATAAGCCCTTCTAACCACTTTTTGGTCAAAATTGACATAAACTAAATTTTTTTTTTTTATAAAAAAGACATGACATTTTATCCTCATTTTAAAAAACATATACTATATATATATGCACACAATACTATAATTTTCTCTTAAAAGAATCCATATTAGACCAGGCCGATGAGTGTTTGTACGAAAAAAGTACTTTCACTACCATCGAGTTGAAGAAAATAGGACCCACAACACCCTTTTGGGCCCCCTGAAAACATAAAGTGAGCAAAATGCATGCAATTTTGAAATTACAGTGATTGTAATTTCAAAAAATAAAGAATAGTGATTATCCTTGAAATTTATCATAATTACTGTATAAACCAAATGCGTTATTTGTTGAAAAATTATCAATTAGTTTAACTTTACAGTGGGTAAAAAATAATAATAATCCATTTTACTGTAATAATCAAGAGGAATAAAGTTCTATTTTTTAATATATCTTTAATTTAGTTTAGAATTCATTAGTAATTAATTTTTTTACAGTTTTGTCATTACTTATTGAATATCTTAAATATATTTATTTTAAGGTTAATGATCTTAATTGGATAATATTGAATTTTGAAACTATTAGTATAAAATTCATGTGAAAAAAAATTCAAAAAATAAAAGTTAATAGTCTTAAATTAATGGGAATTTTTCAAATTTTTAGGCTCAGTTTGATTAGATGAAAATTAGTAGTGGTTATATTCTATATTTGTTTAGCATGAATTTTTTACATTGCTTAATTTTTTAAATATTATTTCATTTATATTAGAAAGAGTATTAATGTTTTTTTATGTGAACATGGGGTAATTGCACCAAATTGATAGTATAGGAGGGTTTTATACCACGTAGGGGCTGTTTTACACTATATCGATAGTAGAGGGTGGGATTTTTTGCACTTAACCCAAGGGCATTTTTGAATTTATTTTACGTCAATTTTGACAAAAAAGTGGTCAGAGGGGTTTATTTGTACATTTTTTAATTTTATGGACTGAAATACACATTTTTGTAAAATAGGATCTATTTCTGCACAAACCCTTTTAGGCCCCCTGAAATTAAACCATTAGAATTGCTCTTAGTTGTTATATATTAATTCCGTCTATTTTTTGACAAGTTAATTTTTTAGAATTTTAGTGATTGATGGATTACATGTATTTATTTTATATTTACATAAAAAATTTCTTATTGAGAAGTTATCACTATTTTTTTTTTAAAATCTTATTTTATAATTATCTAAAGGGCTAAACTTAAAAAAAAGGCATAAAAAAAAAATCTCACTGTAACTATATTATTTTTGCAAAAAATCCCTTGTATCATTCCAAAAATATTGAGCACCGTTACAATAGTGACTGAAAATTGATATTTTTAGATTTAAAGTATCTATAATACATCTTTATTGATCAAAATGATCTTGAGTTTTCAAATTCATAAATTGATCCATAATGTAAATACTATATTTCGTATTATATAATATAAATTATTATTATTATAATTTTTGTTTTTTTTTTTTTGTCATGAAGGGTTTTTTACTTCTTTGTTACTATATTTTACAGTCAATGTTCTTCTTATTTTTTTTTTATTTCTTGACAGGTAAAATAGTAAATTAGACATAAACCGGTTGGAGGTTAGTTGCAACTTTTATTTATCTAAACGATACTTTCCCAAAAAAAAAAAAAATTCCTTTATTTCCTTTTTCCACCATGCTATCAAAATGCACTTTAATCTCTGTTAAAGTAAAAAAAACCCCACTTTTTACTCCCCTACGCTTCCCCGAAACATCCCCCTTTCGCTACAGCCAAACGTCCAAAAACTGAATCGAGAAAAAAGTTCCCTCTATTTATAGCTTCCACACTTTCACTCTCCCTTTCATATTTCCCTTCCTTTCCCCTCTCTCTTTCTCTCTCTAAAATCTCCCAACTCAGTCAAACCCTAACCAAATCATTCCATCACCTACACTGTCCCTCACTACCATGGAAGCTTTCAGCTTGTTCAAGTTCTGGCGTAATGCCGGCGCCGGTGCCGGCAGATCCAACTCCGGCGCCGACGTCACCAACATCTCCGAAGGAGTCACAGTCAAGAACCTACTCCAAACAGAAGATGAAACGGACGACGAAGATTCTTTCTTCGATTTGGAGTTTACAGCTCCTGATTTCGACGAGAATGAAGAAAACAGAGCTAAAGCTGTTCAAATCAAGAGCTCCGACAACGACGAAGTTCCACACAACAATTCGACCCGAAAAGACGGTGAGCCAAAGCTCAATTTCATCAAATCTCCAAATGATTTCTTCAAAGGAAGAGTTGTGCCGGTAGAATCGAATTCAAAGCCTCAGTCTCCGATTTCAACTCTGATATCTGCGCCGAAGTTTCGAGTCCTCATGTTAGGGTTCAAGAAGTCAAAAATGGCGACTGTTCAGCAGAAATCACCGGAAAAGGAGCAGAGCAAGCGCTTCACGGTCAAATGTGAAGTCGAGGAGGTTCCGATTGCGTCACTCTTCGCCGGAGACAACAGTTTGGGAAGCAAATTAGCGAAGCAGAGGTCAGAGGACGCGTTTTCGGTTGATTCTTCGAAGCCGTTTCCGAAAGACGCAGTACAGAAGTACCTGAAGATCATCAGACCGTTGTACGTTTGGGTTTCGAAGAGGTACGGCGAGAAGACGAAGTTTTCAGATCAGTCGTGGACGGGGACTCCGCTGTCGTCTCCGGCGACGGCGCCTGTGTGTTCGCCGCGAAAGCAAGCGGATGAGAAACAGGGGAGTCGACCGGCGGCACTCCGGATGGTGTGCAAGCATTTAGGGAAGAGCCGATCGGCGTCGGCCGCCGTCAGAATCATGCCGTCGCCAGCGAGGAGAGATGACTCGTTGATGGAGCAGCATGATGGGATCCAAAGCGCCATTCTTCATTGCAAGCGATCTTTCAATTCTTCCAGAGGTATTATAATTATTAAAATCTAATATTAAAAGATTTAATTTCGTATTAAATTTGAGTTTTAAAAATTTAAAAATATTCACTTTCTTGTAATTTATCCACAGAGTTCTGTCTTTATTCACGATCTGCAAGCGATCTTTTTCTCGAGAAATCCATAAACCCACCGAGAAAATCCGCCGAGGAGGAGAAAAGAAGCAGCATTTGAAAGATTTGAAGCTCCATAATCAAATTTTGAGAGGAAGACAAAAAGGCGGGAAAATGATGGAGCATCACAAACTAGTAATGATACTCTGATCAACTATAACCTCTGTTTTACTATTATATATATATATATATATATATATATATATATATGTATGTATGTATATGTATAGAGATAGAGAGAGAGAGAGAATAGGGTTGTGGGATCTGAGAGATGGGGATGATGATGGCGAGAGAGGATGCAGGTGGAGGAGGGCTTGTAGTTATCTGTAAAGCGACTGATGATATATCATATCAATATCAATGAAAGAAATGAGATGAAATGATTATGATCTTTCTGTGTGGTTACTGTATAATCTGATTGTATTCTGTATTTGGCATTTTCTGGCAGCTTGTTCAAATCAAAAAGATCTGATAATTTCTCTGATTTAATATTCCAACAATTTAACAGGTCTTGTAAGTTGTGTCTTTCCTTTTTCTTTTGTAACAGAAAAAGAACCTTGCTGTGTCACTGTTGAGTGTTTGGGGAGAGTAAAAGTGGAGACACAGATTGGAAAATCAGACAAGGATTGTCAAAAAGTTACTACTACCATTCACATCAATTTAACACTTCCATTTTCCTTGTAGAAAGCAAATTAATCGCAGAACTCTGTAAAAAATTTTGTATAAATTTTGCGTACGAAATCCTCTGTTGTAGCGTGTTGTAATTTAACACAAATTTAATGCGTGAAAAAATAGATTTAATTTAGTTAAGTACGGATCTCACTATAAAGTAGTGTTACGGTAAAAAAACTCAGATTTACAAGTACGAGGATGTAGAGCTAGAGGGGAGTGGGATTGGTGCAAGGTTTTGAATATAGGTTTTTGAACACAGAAAATAACCTAACGACTCGGGCAAGTAGATAATTGCAATATATACTCAACTACAAAGGTAATACAACACTTGCGATTTTTTTTCTCTGTGAAGTTATTTAAATTATAAATTTACTTGGTTTGTAATTCTGAAAACAGTTATAAAAAATTCAGAAAGTAGAGAATAATTTTCAGAGAATAATAAAAGACTTATCTAAAAACAGACTTTTTTACAACTGAGTTTTCAGAAAATAGTTTACATAAAATTGAATCAAGTAGATTTTTTTTTACATTTTTCAGTTTTCTAATAACAGAAAGTTATTTCCATAATTACAAATCAAGCCAGTTCTATAATTTTCAAATAGATTAAGGGCATGATGTAAACACTTAATCATTTTATTTTATTATTTTAATAAATTAAATATATTTCGTTAAGGTTGATAAATTTTTGTCTGGCCCAATTAAATGCAATCCAAATAAACCAAAAACCTACTCCATTACCCACATTATAACATAATCATAACAATAAGAGAAACTACAATAATATGAAATACAGAAGCATTTGTAGTAATTCAGTCATGATGTGTACAAAGTAGCAAAGCATGTGGCATAGAAATCAATAGCATCCTCTTTTGTAATGTCAATATGTTTTTATGCTTTTTGAAAATGCTTTTGAGAAATAAGAATTGCATTTTAGGTAGCCTTTTGCTTTTATCGGCTGATTGTTGCTAAGGAGCTAAAGTGAAAAGCATATTTGATTCATTAAAGGTAAAATTTTTATCTTTCTTTCTTTCTTTTTATCTTTTGCCATTTTCTCAAAGTACCTTAGAGAGACCCAATTTGTCCAGTGGAAGCTCCATCCAGATGGAGAATGTGAGTATTATTCAATAGTTATATTTAGAAGTATTGAATCGGAAATTTGAATTTAGAATTGAAGAAATTTTTATTAAAATTTAATTAAAATTATATTTATTCAAATTCTGAATCCAAAGTGCAGATTTCCAAATACAAGACTAGTGTCTAACTTCAATCCGCTATCTCATACTTAAGCTCCTTGGAGATGGAGAATGTGAGCATTATTGGATAATTATGTTCGGAAAATTGACAAATAAATTTAAGAAAGCATTTTATTCTTTTGGAAAATTGACTAGACTCTATTTATTTGGGTAACTACAATGACTGTAAGGTCTGAAACCGATCGTTTTTGTAGCAGTGCTCTATGAAGTTTCAATTTCCAAACTTTCCCAGCACAGGAAAATCAATTTTCAAACTTGTGTCACTCCACTTTAAATCGAAATTAAGAAGGTTCGAGTTACTGCTCCATGCACTTTTTTTTTCCTTTCAAAATTCTTTTTGTCATTATAAAATTTTTGATAAATTTTTAGAATACTCAGCTTATAAAAAAATGCAGTACAATCATAATCACAAATTTTCTTAACTTTGTAGTTTAACTTATAAATTATTACAAAAACCATTGAAAAAGAAAAAGAAAAAAAAAACTGAAGCTCCACATCTCTAATTAATAATCTAATATATAATTACATCTTTTATTACTGATTCGGAAGGATTTGATTTGTGACTTTTCCTAATTCCGTTTATTAGAATATATTTTTTAAGTTAGATTAGAGAGTCGCAGTCTGGCACTTCAAAATTCACGAAAGACAATAATTTATTGAATTATCGAAACATCTATTAAAATATATTTAAATTTGCAAAAGATATATATATATATATATATTTATATTTTCAAACTCGGTTTATAAGGGACCAAATGAGTAAAATTGACATCTCTGAAATAGACCAACCCGACACTTGACATCCGTTAAATTCAAAGAAGAGGACGTTTAATTATGCGTCAAACATTTGAATTTTAAAACTTTGAAAAATTCATAACTCCACTTAGAGTCAAAGACGAACCAACGAGGAAGGTCCAAAGCTGGACCAAGGAAAAAACACCAAAAAAGCGTGACTCCAATGCATATATTATAAATTTACGTGGAATCATAATGATCAAGACAATGACCAAATTGCCCAATGAAGTCAAAATTGAATACTAGTGATAAGAACAAAAACTATTGCCCAATGAAGTCAAAATTGAATACTAGTGATAAGAACAAAAACTATGATTTATTTGACTGAATAAAAGGAATTGAGAATTCCACTAATTAATCAGAAATTTGAGGAAAGCCAATACAATGCACCTGCATACAAGAGACAAACAAAACCCAGACAACATTTCTTGGTCCGATGATCAGCAGATTTGCTCTGTTTCCTTTGTTGGTTACACGTCTTTCCTTGTTTTCTTATTCTAAGAATAAGATGGTGACTCTAGTATTTACTCCAAACTCTTCCCATTCTGTTGAAAAGACTTAACAAATATATATATATATATATATATATATATATATATAGTCTCATTTTGATATGGCACCTTGTGCTAGTTCCATCAGCAACCTTAAATTTGTTTAAGATTAGAAATATCATGTTTGAATTTGAGAAAGCTGAATTTATAAACATTCAACACTAGATTACTTGGCTCGGATGTCTCATGAAGCATCTCGTATAAGGTTTCACTTTCACCGAGTGTAAATAATTTTTTTGGAATCACGCTTTTACAGTTTATATTCCGCAACTTACTTGACCTGTGGTGGAAGACACCCTTTATGGATTCTTGGGGATTAGTCGGAGTGAAATCTCGAATATTTTAAGTTAATTTAAAAGAAAGAAAAAAGAAGAAGACTGAAATATTAGTACTTAACGGTAATTTTGCAGCTAAAAATCACTATCATTGAAAATTAAGAAAAAATAGAATTTGAAATCTAATCACTAAAACTTACTGAATACCAAAAATCATAGAGTCAATTAAAAAACCTAAGTCCATTAGACAACTAACAAAAATCAAGAAACATTCAACAATCTTCTTATAAGACTGAAAAATGGGATTTGGAGGCCAAAAACAATGAAATTTGTTTGAAACACGCTGGTGGAAATTATCCCAAAAATTATTATTATTTTTGGGCAAGTTTTTAAGCTTCCAATTGCTCAATATCAAATATTTGATTTTATTTTAAAGAAAGAAGTTCATAAATTAAAATCAAACTTAAGTCCTTAAAAAACACAAGTTGAGGCCTAATTATAAAATCAAAAACTCATTTCATTTGTAAGTTTGACTCACCCCATTACTCTATACAAATGATTGTATAATTACATGTATATGTATGAATTAGCTAACCCCAATGATTAGTAGCTTAAAGAAAAATAAATTACGAGTAAGGATACTCAAGCAGACAACGCAGACCACTAACTAATGCTAAAAACAAATCACCTTCGAGTTTAATTTTTAATTATATGGATTACTAGAACTTAGTTTCAAGGATCCAAATGACAAAATAAATATAAAAAACAATGTTACGGACATTCGTAATTCTTTGATTTTAAAAAATGGTTCCAAAGTTCGTGAATTAGGTATATTATAATTTAATACTCACGAATTCTGTAAACGGAGAGATTGATAGATTCATTTACATCGGAATGTGCAATTGATCTTAACCCTAACTAAAATCTTAGGTTATTTTTTTTATTATTTTTATTTCATGGTAAGAATTTTATGTATTAAGGACCTAGAAAATAATGAGTGGGGGGTAAGTATAGAATTCAAAAAAACAAAAATCAATAGGTACAAAATACCCAAAACAAAAATTTTAGTGGGACAGTTGCTCCCATTGAGCCCTCAACAGATTTGTGCCTTTCGGACAGTATTCTTTAAAAAGTAAAGAAGCTATCACTTTCCGTTTGGATACACATGAGAGAAAAGAAATGAAATAATTGATAATATTAGTTATGAGAAAAAAGAAAAGAAGGGAAATTATACCAATAAACTCTATTCATGGGTTGGATAGATATGAAAGAAAAAAAAAAGAAATGATAGTATTATTATTTGAATAAGATAGAGGGGGAAAAAAAGAAAATAAAGAATAACAATCAAATTACTATCATATTCTTTTAAATAGATGAGATATGAGTGGAATAACAATTTCTTCTAAATTATTATCATATTCTTTTAAATAGATGAGACATGAGTGGAATAACAATTTCTTCCATTTAATTATTAAGAATAGTTTCAAAATTATGAAAATAATTCGTACTACTTCAACACTATTCTTTCTCTTTTTATTTTCTCATTTTTGTACGGATATGATAGAGGAATAAGGAGGATATCCCATTTACCCAAAAAAAGAAAAAGAAAATGAGGAGGATATCCCTCATTATGCCTCAATCCAAACAAAGCCTAAAGAGTCATCCTTGACTGTGGTTACGCGGATTAAACAATTGTGATTCTAAAATCCTAAAAAATGGTTCCAACGTGTGGGAACTAGGTATTAATTATAACTAAAATTATTGGGGACACAAACAATTATAAGTGTAACAAAATGATAGACATTTAAAAGAAGATATCTATATATATATATATATATATATATATATATACCATGTATTTGGGCAAGCCATAAAACAAGGACCCGACACTATTTCATTGTCCGAGGGACCATAGATTGTGGTGTGTCCCTCTGTTGATCTTGGGTCTCTTTCAGTTCCTGCTCTAACCATTTTATTAAGGTGCATGGTATGTTACAAATTTGTTAGCATAAATTCATGTGGGTTCATTTTCCAACATGAACAGCTTTCTTGAAAGGGAAAATTTTCTCCTTATCAAATGGAAACAGTTATTTGATTGAATTCAATGCATCTATATATTATTATTTTGAGGTTGTTATATTTGAATAGAAAATTACTTTTAGAAAGCATCATCGTCAGCCCATATTGTATTTGTGAGATTCACAAAATTTTCAAAGTTTGTTAATAAAATAATATGGCAAGGAATGATCACAGTAAGTGTTGGATTACCCGGTGTTATTTATTTGATTTAGTAAGGTTGAAAACGAGTTGGGTCGAGTTGAGTTTTCAATTATTGGATCGAGTTGAGTTTTAAATTCTGATTTTGATCTCAAATTCGAGCTTAAATCCAAACAATTCCAAATAAACAAGTCACCAGTGAGTCAGTGACGAGCTCAGAAAATTATATGAGACGAGATAGCTTTGAATAACAAGAATATATAGTGGGGTATTATCAAAAATTGAGTCGGTGTATTTTTAAGATTTTAACCAAATTTGTAGGTAATTTTATAAATATATTTTTTAATTTTTTATTGGAGACGATTGCTCCCACTGAACCCTGAATAGGTCCGTCCCTACGAGTCATGATCACAAGCTTTTATCAAACTTATTTACAAATACCAATTCATCAGTCTAACGAGTCTTCGAATTCAGCTGGTTTATTATTCGAGTATAAATAACAAGTTCGAGTTCAATTTGTTTTTTAAGAAAATGAACTCGAGCTTAGCTTTAACAAAGTCGGGTCCGAAGACTCCAAACTGTTCATGGACATTTATTTGTTTATAGCCATAAAAAGTAGGTAGGATGATAAAGATCTCACAAATGAAGGAAGTTCTATCCTATGTTTTTGGTTGCGCAGCTGCTTTAAAATCAAACAATGAAAGTTTACATCTTTTCTTTTCCTCCTTTTCTTTCTCATACTTTTTGCCTACTACCAAATGAAAGATTAAAATGACTAATTGTAACGGGTCGACGCTTGCCCATTTACCTAAAAGATTAAACTGTTAGGTAATGCTGTATATTCACAAACTTACAACGCCCTCGTTGCTGCTCGAGTCACCCTGCCTACCTGGGGTGCTCACCAAAATGCCTTCCGGACCGGACGCTTGACTTGATATCGGATTAAGGATTGAATTTGGCTCTGATACCAACTGTAACGGATGGATACTTGTCCATTTACTCAAAAGTTCAAGCTATTGGGTAGTGCTATATACATACTCACTCATTTATACCCAATTACTTTTTCATCTGGATTCGATGTGAAACAAATAACCTTTGTTACACTAGTGCATAGACAAGTCCAAAAAGGTTTGAAATTCTACAGTTTGGGCTGGGTTTTGCTACAAAAGCATTTGACAAACGCATGTGAATAAATCTGACACAAAAGTAAAAACAGGACCTGAAAGAATTATTGCCCAATTGATTATATCAAGACCCATTATATAAGGCTGGGCTTTGTGAATTGGGCCTGGCAGTGGTCCTGCTAGTTCAGGAGAATTGTTCATAGCTCTTCCAACGAGCATTCTCATTCCCTATTTCCCGACCTCAGCCCATTTTTTATACTTTTTCTTTTCTTTTTCTCTTCATTTTCCTTTCATACCTTTTTTTTTGAATAGGATTTTTTTTTTAATTTAAAATTTATTATTATTATTTTTTGAAACTTAGGCAAGAAACACATTCACCCACACATTTACACGCCCACTTGTCTTTTGGTTTTGGGGTACTTAAATTCTCAATTTTCTACTTTAAAAGGTGAATGAGTACCACTAGATTACTATTGCCTTTGATGAATCAATCCAACTTTAATTTAGGCTCTGTTTGTTTGGACATAAAATATTTTTCAGAAAATATTTTTGTATTTTTTGGTGTTTGGTTGTCGTAAAATATTTACGAAGAAAAAAAATATTAAAATTTAACAAAATTAATTTATTCATAAATTTTCAGTAAGTTATTTTACATGTCCCGCCCGATGGAATCGACTTCAACCTCAACGTAAACCTTTGCCTAACACAGACAAAGTAAAAATAAAAGAATATTTTACCTAAAATTTTTTTTTTTTTTTCAAGAAGAATATTTTATATCGAAACAAACGGAGTCTTATGTTACTATTATTTTATTTGTTAACTCTAATTTAATGTTCAATTTAACAGACTTTCATTTAATGTTCAATTTTTGATGCCATGATCTTGGGCCAAACCACACTAAACCTATTCAAATTTCTTAGAAAACATTCCTAGACAAATTTTTATTTTATTTTTTTATTTTTAATCAAATAACTCTTTTTAACTTTTCAACGGCGGTCAAATTACACCTCCGAAATGGATGGCGGTTCAATTCCGTTAATTTTTCTTGTGATTTACTATTTTGCCTTAAAATTATCCAAAATATGCATAGAACCACTCCTAGAAAAAGCAGTGGTGGTTACAACTTACAAGTAGTTGAGAGCAGATGTTAAATTGCCCAACTATGAACAATGATCTAAACCAAAACCTTCCAAATTTTTAGGTATTTATACATAAATTTAAAATTTAAAATTCAAAATTCAAATTTCAACGCACATGGATAATATGTTCAAAATATTGTTGACTATTATGCTTGGTTCGGTAGGAAAGATAAAAATTGGATGGAAGAGAAAAAAGAAAGGATAGATGAGACATTCCCATAAAAAAAAGATTGTATAATTTTCTCTTTTTATTTAATTAGATGGGAGAAAAGAGAATAAATTCATAATTTGCTTGTTTAGGAGAAAAGAAAAGAGAGAGTTTTAATTTAAGATAGTTGTAATTTATTGTGTTTGTCTAATTTAAAATAGTAGTAATTTAAAATTTTTATAAATATCTCACTTGGAGCAATACAAATTTGTAAAGGAAGATCCATCTCTTCTATTATCATTTTTATCATTATTTCCTCTTTACTAAATGAAAGATTTTCATATTGTTACTTCCTTCCTATCTTTCCCTCTGCATCTCTTCCTTCATTCCTTCCTACCGAACAAAGCTTTAAAAAATTTTTCAAACAAAACTCACACCACATGGTCGAATCTAGAAAATTTCAAATTTTGGTGTAAACAAATACATACAAACCTTGCTGTGGATACACCCAAGAGCTGGTTGTAAATTACAATATTCAATGGGATTACAAGGCTCAATTTTCCAGAGCCATGATTTGGACATAAGAAGGTACAAAAACCACATCCTTTGAGTCAAGGTCGTTATTGACTTTTTCTTTTTTATTTTTTTAGGCAAAATAACACTATCACAAGAAAATTAACTTAATGGGACGGTCAGCTAGTCCTGAAACTTGGCAGTTTCTGAGAAGTTGAAAGAGTTATCTGGGCAAAAAAAAAATCAGATTTCAAAGGGTGTTTTTATTTATTTTTGAGAAGTTTAGAGATGTTTAATGCAATTTGGCCCATATGATGACCACTAACTATAGATTTATTCTAAATTTGTCCTTGGAGAATAATTTGGGCTTTGGTCATCGGACTATATATATATATATATATATCTATATATTAAAAAAGAAAAAATTACAGATTCTAGTATTCGTTGCAACTTGGACATCTCATGCATTCGTTGCAACTTGGACATCTCATGTCCAACCACTTCAATATCAGCCAGCTCCTCGATTGATCAATTTGATCCTAAATATCTTTGTTGACTGGAGGATGGAATATTTCAACCTATATGACTTTTCAACATTTGTTTTCCACAATGACGGCTATAAATATAGTACCATTCCATAAATTTAGGGCATATTTAGCATATAGTATTAGTCACGGTATTGGTTGCAATCGCGATGTAATAAATTTGAACAAAGTCAGTATAAATTGACTGATATAAATTACTTATCAACTTGAAAAATCATAAATAATATCTTGTAAATAATATCTTGTTTGAACGCGTGTTAGCAATATGTGCCAGCGAAAGAGAGTATTTGTTTTATGAACTGCACGATTGACACATCAAAAAAAAAACTTATACCAAGTAGTAAAATTTAAATAATAAGTATACAACAAAACGAAGAACTGGCAGAGGTGGGACTATTTGGTATAAGCATACTCTGTCCCGTCCCCCCTCATAAACAGAGTACATATTTTCCGAAAATTAAAGTCCAAACACTATATAAAAGTGTATCATTAGCATTTCAAATTCTGGATTTGCTTGCTCGCGATATGAACATCCATGGTGCAATTCAAATTGATAGCTTTCTTCTTCTTCATCACCAGCATTAGCTCCACCTTTCCGGTCATTCTTGATGTGCAGGTCAGCGGCAAAGTCCCAGAACGGAAATCAGTTGCCAAGTCTGGACTGGTTGATGATAGGGGTATAGTAACATTGAATCTCTTGGTTGATTGAAATTTAGCCGTTGACTTGGGAACAATAGTACTCCCTATTTCTGCACCCCTGTAATAGAAGGTAATGGTACTATTGTCGAATTTGTAAGGACCGAAGTTGGTGTTCTTGACACCAAGTCGAGCATTCATTCTCATGTCAAGTGATGTTGCCGAGACAGTACTAGAAGCGTCGAATGAGGCAGCGCGAATGCGGAACTTGGGGGTTTTGACCTTCATGACAGTGAGTGAAAAGATGACTATAACAATGGTTTGGAACACAACGAACGCAGCAATATACAGCATAAGTTTCTTGCGTTTCTGGCGTTTGAGTTCTTTGGTCTGTGACTCTTCGTCTGCTCGGCCATAGTTATATGGTGCTGCCGAGTTGTGCCCTGGTTGCTGCTGCTTCTCCGCCATTAATCTTCTTGATATACAAAGATTGACTTGTCTAGAAATATGGTGCTGCAAAAAATGAAGTTGGGAACGAAATATATATGATCAGTTATATGAATATGGTATAGTATATATATATATACCAGTGAGTGATAAAAGAATTAAAGAGTGAAATGGAAAACTTTTGCTGAAGATTTGAAGATCTGTTTGTGAGGACTAAAGGGTTTCAGCCACCTATACTTATAATAAAAAGGTCTGTGCTTCCTTGTGCTGGATGTAAAATTTTCAATGGAACACCTTCCTTGAAGCCTCCTTCACTGACAACGACTGCAAGGAAGACCATCTAGAAACGCGTCAATTCAACTGGTGTGACTTTGTTCATATATGATTTGTTTTTAGGTAAAAGACTTTGTTCATATTTGACTCCTTGGCACGCAACATTCTTAAATAAAATATATAATTAAATAAATATCAGATGGTTCTATAGGTAAACATATGAAAAACATAGCTTACCAGTGCAGTACATGACTCTATGCTGCTGTACATGACTCTATGCTGCCAATTTTTTCTCTACGATCAATTTTTTTAACATCTGTCTCGTGTATCCATTTTATACACTACTAAATCAATGGTGCATCATATACATACATATCTGCATTATTATTAATAAAAATGTAAGAAGTTTCAGTATTTATTTATAAATATATAAAATATTTATTAATTAATATAAAAAAAAGTTTTTAAAATGGCTCTTTTAAAACTCTAACATAAATTATCTATTTATTATGATTTTTTATTTTTTCAATAATTATAAAGTGTTTAGAAGAGTTTTTATAAAACTATTAATAAAATTAGTTTTTCTATTTCAATATTTATTTATAAATATAAAAAAAGGGTTTTAAAAAAAGTTCTTATAAAACTCTAACACAAATTACCTATTTATTATGAGTTTTTATTTTTTCAATTAATATAAAGTGTTTATAAGAGTTTCTATAAAACTCAAATTACCTATTTATTATAATTTTTTAATAAAAGAAAATCTAATTAGACAAGCAAATATATAAAGAAAATAAATAATTTAGTTTCTCTAATTAGACAAGAAAATATATAAAAGAAATATATACAATTAGTTTTTTAATAAAAAATCTAATTAGACAAGGAAATATATAAAGAAAATAAATAATTTAGTCCCTCTAATTAGATAAGAAAATATATAATTTAATATTTTAAAGATTTTGTAAATTATTATCATTATTTAATTTTGTAATGTGTTTATCTTAATTAAAATATCAGTGTGATTATTTTAAAAAATCAATTTTAATTACTATTGAGAAAATAATTATTTAATTACTTTGTTGAATAGTAATTTTAAATCAATTTTTACTCAACACACGCACATTTTATTAGTGAATATATATATATGTAATAGTTGTGCACCAACAATACAACACTCGTACACAATATATTTACATTGAAGATATGATATTTAAGTAACATATTACATTGCAATGCTCCAACATTATTAAATTAAAAATTTAATAATTTTACATAATTATTACGGTATCAATTTAAAGTTGCATTAGTGATTTACACTCGTTCCATTATTAATTTATTTTATTATTATTTTTTCACAAAAAAGAGAGTGAGGATCTGATCCACAGTTACCAACCAATCGATGTATAATATTTTTGAATTACATGAAGTCAAGTGTTTGATTTTCCTAATTACAAGTGGTAGTTGGAGCTCACTCTCACAAAGAGTACTTATTAGTCTTAGTTTGACTTATTTTAAACTAATGTACCCTGACCGGAATTTTCTTTGAATTGGGCATGTAGATGTGTAGGGAGGAAAAGTCATTAGCCTATTATCGGACGCCATTATTAAAGATGATATAAAAATTAAAATTTCTACTTTTTGATGAAGTATAATAATAATAATAATAATAAACAAATTGTGAAATTTTTTTACTTCAAACCCTAAAAAAGATTTGGGCTCTAAATTTTCCGAAGATATTAAAAGTATTTTTTCAAACGTCTAGGAGCCATTGACTCACTTACAAGTAATTCATATATCTATTTTTGTTTCACAATTTTATTTTATTTTTTTTTATACTATGACAAGCAACTGACATATCCATTTTTGTTGAGTAAAATACATACATACATACATACATATATATATATATATATACAAGTTGCCTCCCTCTAACTTCACCATCAATGACTCCCCCATCACTTATCCCGACCTCTACACTACCATTACTGTCTCCCTCCACGACAGCAAAGCCATCCTCAACTCCTATATCTACAGCGACAATGGCATTTTTCTACTAGAGAATCCAATGTTAGAGGCCCACGCCACTGCAACTAAACGGTTATTGAAGAAGTTTAGAGGAAAAAGAGATGTGGAAGACACTATCCAAATTCTTCTAGCTTGGTATCGTGTGATTGTTTTACTATATATATAACAATACGCACAACTAATGTACTTAATTACCTTCCAAAAAAAAAAAAAAAAAAATTCAATATAATAAATTTTATGAGAAAATCATGTACGTAATAGTGATTAGGAGAAATCAAGGAGAGAAAATCATGTTATCTCTTCATAGTTGGGTTTCCATTTTGATTTGAAATTCTTCAAATATGTGATTATATCTTTATTCCCCCTCAAACTGGGACATGGAGAATTTTAAAGACCCAATTTGTTACGTAAATGAATAAAGGTCTGGCGTGGTAAACCCTTGGTGAAAATATTAACAACTTCTTGATTGTTAGAGCAGACACAACGAGTAATCAATGAGCCTAGCGTAACCTTCTCGAGAAAATAATAATAATCAACTTCAATGTGTTTTGTCCGGGCATGAAACACTGGATTAACTGTAATGTAGAGTGTAGGCATATTGTCACAAAACAAGGTCGTTGGTTGGGGTAAAGGGATTCTGATCTCTCAAAATAAATGAATGCCATGTAACTTCAGCTGCTGCAGATGCAATGGCCCAATATTCAGTTTCGGCGATTGATTGATCAAGCAGGCTAAGAGACACAATGAACTTTCATTGATTTTTGTTACCACAAAAGTCTTCCCTAGCCATGCCTTGGATAGCTCCTCATCCGCACTCTCAATCACTTCTTCGCCACCCTCTCCTTGCCATCCCCTCATCATAATCCAAGTCTGCAGCAACTCATCCAATGCCTAGTCCCAGCCCTCACACCTCTGCTAAGCCTCCACCTCCTTCCACTACTACCTGCGTGAGACAAAGCCTTACACCTCCTGTTGATACAAAAAAATGGCAGCCTACCTGGCAGCCACTTCAATGTTGACATAAACCAGTAAGAAAAGGACACATGGGCAATACATGGCCCAATATCCAGCTGACACATGGAAATATTGGAAGATGAATAAATTCCAACATGTGTACAAGGAAGGAAGCGATGTACGGATAACTGGATAACTGGATAAGCTGTAAGCTGCAAGTGGTAAATCAAGATGATGACAACTAGACATTTAGTTTTGTTATAAAATTGGTTAGTATATTTCTTATAATTAAAGATGGAGTAATGATAGGTCTTCCGACTTTAATTGTCGACTTCTCCTCCGAATACAACGTGGTTGGAAATAAGTCGAAGAGAAAGAGATGTTTACGGGATTTTTTTTAAGAGTTCCAACGTATTCCAATCACGTTGTATTCGTAGGAAGAGTCGGTAATTGAGATCGAAAGACTTATAATTTCTTTTAAAGATGTTATTGGCCCAATTAATATATGTGAATTTGAATTCTTTTAAAATGGGCCAACCACTTGCTAAGAAGATGGGATAAGGAAGTTCCTAAAATTAAGGAGAAGAGTTGGTTATGGGAACAACTAGAAGGTTAACTATTGCAAGTATATGTATAACCTTAAATAGGGGAAGAAACACATGTAGCAGTTGTAAAAGGAACACACACACACACACATATATCAACTTCAAGATCAACGATGAATGCAAAAGAATAAACAAGCAGAATCATGGGTTGAAGACATGGGACACATGGGATCGCTAGGATCAAGCTGGAAGAATGCATGCAGATCGTGGGCATAGAAGTTGGGTTTTCATAAGATATGGGATCAAGGGTTTAGAAGTTATAGAAAATGGGTCTTTCTTGTAAGGGGTTGTAATGTCTATAAATATTGTACTTAGGCTGGATTATGTTTATTTCTTGATGAATTGTGCTACCTCATTAGTTTAATTTCCTTGTTATTAGTATAACTATAGTGTAGTTGCTTTAATTTCCTAGATAGGTAGATAATCTATTCTTGTTGTTTGATGATCAATGCTTATGAGTGCAAGTAGTATACTTATCTAGATTCTTGTGTGCATTAATTATTGGTTTCATTAAATAGTTAATGGCTTAATTTGATAGGTTGTGATACTCACAAGATTGATTAGACAATCTATACTTATTTTGTCATCCATGTTTAGTGTTTCAATTGATGACACACACTCTTTTCATAACATTTAATCCCTTTAATTCGACAAATATTATATGTTTAGTGAGGTAAAGCTTAGTGGTGAACTCTATATCCCAAGATCCCTTTCTCATTCTCTACACCTCATTTACTTTAGTTTGTTTTACATTGCATTGCTTTTAATTAAATCATAGCTTAATTCAACCAACAAACCACTAACGTTGATCATTCGACCTATTAACCCGAATTCGATTCCGTAGTACCTTGCAAGTCCCTTTGGATGGTTTCTTTCACTCATACTACATAGTATAGTGTTAAGTGATTTTTATAAATTTTAAATGTGGTGGCCACTTCACATACTCACACTTCTTACATCATTTTGAGCACAAGGTCACGGACACACCAACAACCAAACCATCTGTTCGGGCTCAAAAGTCTTACATAAGATATACCTATCAAGGAATGCCTTGGTTTTTGATTTATATATCGTAGCACTCTCATAAGCATCATTACGCAAAATCTTCGAGTTCAGAAAGTTGAAGCTTCCTATTAAAGACAGCAGAGTTCAAATCAAAGTTGA